CAAATAAATAATTATATACGTTATTCGAGATGTTGAAAAGTATCAACTGATATTAAAAAAAGGAAAATGTTTCAGGTTTTTAAACTCCACGGGGACAATGTTGCGACGGGAGCTAAAAAATATATATGAATAAAGCTTGTAAACGATACCGACATTGACAAGGGCTGTAGGAAGTGAGCTGGCAAATATCGATTGAATAGCTTCAAAGCTTTGTGGACCAAGCGAGCATAACTCGACGGTAGCGTTGCGTTTAGGTATTCCGCTCTTCTGCGCTTTGCTGTCTAACTTTACGAGCAAATGAAATTCTATACAATATAAACGCGCACATTCTTAAACAAAATATTCAACTGAGATTTATTGGCATGTGGCCTTTAATTACAGACTATTTGATGTTTTTGTATTATATTTTATAACACCTTATACTTTAAAGCCAGCTACACATCTTCAGTTTCAACTGAAAATTCGGACAGTATAATTAAAACTTACTTATGTAGGCAAATTTGTCTGTCATTTAAACTATAGAATGCATACTTTTGCCTACAACGTTACGTACTTAACAGTCCAACTATTCAGTTAAAGCCATGGTGGATTTAATTTTAAGACGCATCTCGTTTCATGATTTAAAGTTGTAAGAACTTGTATAGAACAATTATTTCTTTATTTACAACTAGCTGTTCCCATGCGGCTTCATCCGCATCAAATTGTGAAAATTTTATTTTATTGTTTACATTTGTCAAATTAACAATAGCAAATGTCAAAATGACATGACATTACAAACCTTGACGTATCTTTCCCACATTAGGGTTTTTGTCCAAAATAATTACCCCCTAAGTTTTGTGGCGTGAAAATATATAGCATAAAGCGTGACGTAAGTGTAGGGCTTTTTATTAAAAATGGTTTTTTTTAATAGTATTATTCAAAAACATGTTGTAGTTAATTGCTGACATCTTATTCAACAAAGAAGTGTGTTTACGCTTTATTATAATAGTATAGAAGTATAGATTATTTCAAAAACTAATTAATGACTGATAAGGGTGATCAACCTAACAGTCTTTTAATATTCATTTCTAAAAAAATGCGAATATTTATTTGTAAAATACAAACAAAACCTATAGATGTTGAATTCTGATTGTGCATTGTCTCTGAAAATAAACTGAAAAAACTGGAAACCGCTAAAATGCTTTCTTCCACTCCAGCGGAATTTACTTTTTCATTTTTTACCTTTTAGAAATATGATGAGATGCGGTTTCAGACATCGGAACTTTTTTTCAACGTTGGAAAAATGATTTTGGTTGGTTGGAAAAATGGTTTTATTTTTAAAACTTTAGATAAGGGACTGTGTCCGAATTAATGAAAAACAGTATCAGACTAAACCTACTTTCTATCGAGGAATTGCAATCTACAGGAATTGAGCAAATACAACCTTGGATCAGTTATATAATCTTCTATCTAGATTCCTAAGGTTCTCAGAACTCGAATCCAATCTAGACCAAATCTAGGTTAACTACTATGTGACTAATAGGAAAGTAAAATAACACTTTCGTTTTGTGATTGAATTTGTGTAACTATAAAAATTATTTCTTTAGTTTTAAAATGTATTTAGTTAGCTTTTGCCCGCGACTTCTTCCTGAATTAAAAAACAAAATATCCTGTGTTCTTGCAAACCGCATTCCACATCTGTCTCAACATTCATCGAGATACTTTAAGCCGATTTAGTAACATAATTAACATACATCCATCAAAATTTTTGCATTTATAATATTACTAAGTAGTAAAATAAGTAATAAGTTTAAAAAAAATAGCTACACATATAATAAGATTAGAGTGTCTGTAATATCAAAAGAAAAATTCAAGATTTCGGGAAGATGATGTATTTAGATTCATTATGACGAAAATCGCATTTAAAAATGTCTGTCTGTCTGTCCGCAAGCCGCGTTTGTTCCGGATAATCTCCGCAACGGATACTCATTTCGAACGGACTTTCGCTTAAAAGTAGCGAACATAGACGAGCATATTATAGGCTTTTTTTAATCTTAATATTGCATGGACGAAGTCTCGGGCAACAGCTAGTTCTTAATAAAAACTTGTAGCTTGTATGTTTTATTTTTAAGAAAAAAATTTATCTATGTTTTAAAAAAAATCTATATTATAACATTTATGTCATAGTAACAAAGATAATACAATATACCATAAACATTTGTTAGCCCAAATATACTGGAGCTTATTTCACTAGTATAATTCGGAGACGAACCCTTGTCATACCTAATGAGATAACAGACTGATTTTCTGTTATATTACCTCGAAGACGTTCGAAATAATGACCTACATGCGAGATTGATAATACAAATACAAACAAACAATATGTACATATTTTAAGCCTACAATTATTAATAATATTTTTATAGTAATATTACAAATGCGAAATTTTAAATGGATCGAAGTTTATTACGACGTATCTTCAAAACGGTTTAACGGATCTCGATGAAGTTAACCACATATATCTTACTAATATTATAAATGTGAAAGTTTAGATGGATGGATGTTTGTTAGAGTTTGTAGCCTAAACGGCTGTACGGATTTTGATAAAATTTGATGTAGAGGATAGTCTGGAAGAACACACTTTTGTTTGTTTCAATTTCACGCTGACGAAGTCGCGGACGAAAGCTAGTAGAATAGAATCTAGGAGAACACATAGGTTAGATACTATTTTTTTTTAAATCAGGTCAAAAGAAGATATCAAAACCTATTTTTTAATAAAAAAGGAAGTACTCCGGATCGTTACCAAAGGTGTACTCAGAAATTACGGGATACCATTTAATTATGCTTACTTAATTCGTAAGTTCATACATACCAGTGCAGTACTTGTGTTGCAACTTAGATTTATCTATTCAAACTTTGGAAATCGATATATAAAAATCAAGTTTTATTTTCTACTTTAACAACAGCGTAAAAAATAAGTTGTAATACAACAACCTAACTTAATAAGCCTCTTTAAAACTTATCCTTTGTTTGAGAATAAAGAGACGAAAAGTTTTCCTCCCTTAAAATTTGTTGTCGAAGAAAATTATGTTCGATATGTATACGATATGAATAATAAATTATTTTTAACACAATACAGATATATTATAAAAGTTCTAAATTTAATAAAATGTTTCTTCTATCATATGTATGATGCGTAATATATTGTTTATTTCGGACATAGTATTATTTCGGATGTTCGAAAATTTAGATGGATTGATTGATGGATGTTTTTTTTAATACGTATCAATACGACCCATAGGATCTAGATGATATTTAGCACAAATGTAGAATACAGTCTGAAAAGTAGACTACTTATTTTTTTATCAGACGTACTCGAGGGAAAAAGCTGGAGTACAGAGTACCATTGTAATGATAAAAAACTAGTCTACTTCAGGGTTGGTGAGTTTATTCTTATTCTTCTATATTATAAATGCTTAAAAATGTATTACTTTTCTTTTTTTAATGGTAGATATTTTAATATATTACTTGTATAAAATGATAAAAAAACGGGTAAAACATAAATGGATTTTGACCGAAATGTCAAAAGTAATACATCGTTATTAAAAAAATTCAACATTTTATTCATAATCCAGTATAAGTACTTATAATATTTATAATACATAGAATTTAGTATAAAGACTTAAGTTACGAAGTTATCTAATCTCATACAAAAATAATTAGTTCTCATCCAACCGTAATCTTGTACTCTCATTATAATAAATATTCTTGTTTAAGAAAAACTAGATTCCTGACTGGTACACCTGAAGAAAAACATTTTTATGGCTCCTACGTAGACTGTTATAAGTCACAATTTTGAAATTAACACCTTATATTTTAGGTTTTTTAAATTAACTTAGTAAAAAATCATTTCTCTACAAATTAGAAATAAACATTAGAAAGAACTACATATTTTTGTATTTCAAGTAATTAATTTCATTTTGTAAAATTTGTGTTGCATTTACGGAGGAGCGATAGCTTTGTCTCTGTTCTTTTCAAAGAGCAAGAAAGGGATAGATGTGGAAAAGAGTGATAAGTTTATTAAACACAGGTGTTCCAGCAGTGAAAACTGACAATTAGAAATATCTTCGTGATACAACATTTAGTACTTATATTTGTTAACATCGATATCTAAATACTAACTAGAATTACAAAGCTTATATAACGGAAAATCTTTTTTCTTGTACTTAGATTAGTCGACATTTTAAATACTTCGTAAAATTAAACTTTATTTATTTTTAGACAATAAAGGAAATGACAGTATTGCTGTGTCTGTGCTTCAGCAGTAAAAGTCCACGGTAATATATGACGAAAATACCGTATACAATTTAACATACATAGATATAAAACCTATAGAAAGAGTATTTATACATTGATGTCTAACCAAGAGTTTATATGAAACGTCATTTCATGAATAACACCAAAGGAATTTACTTAAACACAAGGTTTTCTAAGGTCTTTTTTCGCCTTATGTGCTATAGATTACGCATCTATAGGTTATATATCTATGTATAAACACAATATTTATACGAAGTGATATGACTATTCTTACAATAGGAATACCTCAATTCTCGTAATAGGATTTTATCGTCTCCTTTCACAAAATTCAGAGCATTGAAAAGAGTCTTTAGTCGTTATTGACACCTCGTAATATTTAAATATCATATTTCGCTTCAAAATAATTGTGACTCTTAGGGCCTGCCACACCAAATTGTAAATTGTCTGATAACAATCCAACGTGTAAAATACGAGTATGTGATGGAAATATCGGATTTCGTTACCTTATCTGACAGTGGCGTCATTTTTAAGCTATCTGAGCTTTTATCAGCCAATGGTGGGATATGTTCTTAGTCATTAAATTGTTGCAGATACTACGAAAGCAATCCGTTAGTGTTCAGTAAATGACTGTTTCAATAAATACTTATCAATATTTAAATTGTTCTGTCAAAAAAATGATCGATTGAAATACAAAAAGGACAGGAAAGTTATTATAATGATTAGAACTTTAATATTTCTGATAATTGCAATTAAGAATTATAGACATATCATATTTTATATAGGTAATCAAGCAAAGACCATGTTTTACATTCCGACTATATCAAAAACCTAGCTAAGAGTTTTGATACCAGTTTCTAACATCTATTGAGAAAATTTCATTTTAATACAATACATAGATAGGTATATTATTTTATTTTAACACGATTTAAAGCTTTTTCTCTTATAAAAACAGTTATACACATAGTATATTGTGCAACATTTAATAAAAAGAAACAATTGTTAGTAAAACTTGCAAAACCAACTACGTTATTGTCCAACACTAAATGAATGTTTTAAACATTCGCCGTTTCAACAATACGATATATTAACCACTTTACTGTACATCGCGAGTTTACAATGAAACCTTTCTATCGTAAATCCATAAACACATTAATGGAAATATTACAATTCTTAAACAACAAATCTACATTAAACTTTACCAAGTTTCAATTAACATTGTTCAAGTCTTGAATTTGAAATGTGCGTATGCAGATAACAGTAAATAGTTAATAATAATACACGTAAAAATATGGATAAAAAGTAAATTTCCGCAGGAAATAATACACTTCAAAAGTCTAAGGTGAGGGCGTAAAACTGGCATCTACAATTAAACATCTAATTTAAAAGAATACACCAGGGATATAATATCTAATCTGGATAAATTATTATAAATCTAAGGATAAATTCATCATCTACTTCAACAATATCTACATCTGTTCTATATTCTATCTCTACATTCCAATATCACTTATCCGAAGGTAACCTTTTCCTACTATAAATGGACATACAACCGTTTATCATTCTAATCGAATCCCCTACGGTTACAATTTTTGGCATCGCGAGATTACCTTGTTTGGTAAATTGAATAATCAAGTCAATTGTTCCGAAGTCTTTCCATAGTTGTGATATTCTCGCCTTATTTATTCTTTATCTCTTCATCTGAAAATATTTTCTTATTAATATTTAAATTTAATTATTGGGCGATTGTACTCAATCTCATACAAATCAATCTTAAGATCGATCTTAAGAATTAGTTATTGGGTCAGATGAATTAAATTTTGCATGTCATTTTCATTAGTTACATTTTGGTTAACGATTTGAATCTCCGTCTCATTCTTTAAATTGCTAAATATGTAAAGATCGAATCTTACCTCACATTTAAGCAACTCAATCCCGCGTTCTGTTGGTCGTTTGAGGGCAGAGCGATGTTCGTCGGCAGGCTCTTATTGAGCGGGTACCACTGCGCGACTGGCTTGCGAGAGTTGTCCAGCATCTCAAGCCAGTGATCGCGACCGATGCCGATCAATGAGGATCCGATTGCCGTGCAACCGATTAACTCGTTTGGACCGATCCTGATAAAAAATAAATGCCAAGTAAACATTGATGGTAACAACTCGTTGAGTAGTTTAATTGTTAAGTATGGGTTTGTAAAATATAGCAGATTTATCAAATTATGAACTAAACAGATACTGATTTCTTGATACCCTGAAATGGTATAAAAAAATATCAGATAACAATTTAAAGATTGACTTTCAATAGTTTTCAATGGTTCAAATTATTCTGCATAATTGTAGCAAGTTGTTCTAAAATCTCTTATAAGTGTTTTAATACTCACCTATCGTAATCAATAACTTTGACGAGCAGTGTGACGTCATATACATTTTCGTACGGCAAGTCGAAGACCAGAGCCTCATTGTATACTGGGCTGAGGGTATTCTTTTTAACAGTTGTTTTCTTCTTTTTAATTCGTTTGCCTTGACATATCAGGCAAATTTTCACATACGGATCTGTAACAAATGTCTAAATAAAGTCACTTCGTTTATTATAAAACCCCTGTCGAGATTTTGGTTAAGCTATACAAGGAAATTTAAGACGTCAAGAACTTTAAGGAATTTTCATCTTACCTGATGACCCGTTTATATCCATAGCTTTAAGGTTTCTTCCTTTGATCACAGTAACGGTGAGTCGTCCCGCAGTAGGCAAGTAGCACAGGGATAGCATCAACTCGCCTAAATCTTTCTTCTCCTGTGAATAAAATGCAATGTGAGGTACAAGTAATGCGTACTTGTTTGAACATATTGTCATCCTTATATTGTGTTTGAATAAAACAGAATCATCAATATGTTTCTATTCATGTGGCAGTGGCAATGTTTTATACAGCTCTTTTGTAGGTTAGAATTTAAATAGAAGCCACATCTTCGTTGGTAATTAGATTTCGATCCACGGCACGGGCGCTAATGAAATCATTAATTGCATTTTGAATTTGATTAACCGCGAAGAACGAAGGTAAACTGGACACATTTCTTAAAGAAAATAACTTAAGATTCAGATAGAATTTTAAATGTCGAATTTCAATTTCGAGACAGATTGTTTTTATAAACATAAAGAAAAAACTGTGATAACAAAATATTTTTACTAGAAGATAAGATTTATTTTTTTTATATCGAAAACATTTCTTGGAAAAACACAATTGGCAAATATTAAGCCTTTCTTAATAATTCTGCGAAGTCAAGGTCTATGTGACATTGACGGAGGTTCTATAGCCTTGAAATTCACCCTCGAGGATAGCTTCGGTAAAGAGAGCAAGAAACAGCAATATTACTCCTGAAGTGCTTGATTAATGGACACCGAATCTTATGTAATTAAGCTTCGGACTGGATTACTTAAGTTCATTATTCACACCACGATAATTTATTAGGAAAATGTTTTTACTGTTCGTCTTTAAATGGTAACTAAGAGACTTTAGTGTTTTAGTAAGAGATATCTACACTAAGGAAAAATAAAAATAATCATAAAAGACTATGAGTAATAAAGGAAGGTACAAAGAGAAAGTAAATCCTTTAGTTTGCTTTTCGTGCGGTTTTTGCGGAATGATCTTTCTTCGTCGGTATTTCTAGTACCACTTAGGGTCCTTCATGAAGCGAGCCTGCAATTTCCTGAAAGGCCGGTAACGCATCTGTAATTCCTCTGGTGATGCGCAAGTCCGTAGGTGTCGTTGACCACCTCAGTGTTCCCGCCGCTCGTTTGCTCCCTTTTATTATAAAAAAAAAGCTATAAATTTACCTGAGGTGCGGCAAGTATGTTCATCGTATACTCAATCTCTTGCGTGAGGTCAGCGGACTCCAGCAGACCTTTGAGCACCACGTGGCCGATCAGATCGTGTCGGCTGAAGCGATCGAAGTCATACACCGAGAACTGGAGATAACGCTGCCGTAACTCCTCGTATGGTACGCTAAATAAAAAGAAATAGTTAATTTAAATAACCAATATGCTAAAAGTCTAAACAGGCTATTAACGGAATATTAAACCGTACAGCAAGGACTTTGTCACTTGTACAGTGAGTGCTTCAGCGAGGTTCATTCAAAGGTTTTTAGTACATCTTTAGTTTGTTCTTCAAGTAATATTATCTAGATTTGCATCACCCAAACAAACTGTTCAAAGTCATCATACCACTGCTAGACAAAGCCAGATAAAGTTATTATGTTTCAAATATTTGTTACTTAATAATTACAATTGTATAGTTTTTTTTTTAATTTACTTTATTGACATATTAGGTAAATATTTCAAAGCAGCGGACTATCTCATTTATGATGTAAGGTTAATTGGCAAAAATTAAACACATCATGTCTACTAGATACCTGAACAAGAAAGTTTCATTGAAGACCGGGTTGAGATTCTTGCGGTGTACTTTGGTCTGGAATTTCTTCTTGCGGTCGGGGAGCAGGAAAACCTTGATGTAGGGATCGCTGCTTCCCAATACATCCTTGATCGGCAGGTCGCGTGCCTCGAATATCTAAACAAATTTACAAATATTTGTGTAAAATATCTAATAACCTATTTAAAAGCAAAGTAAATGATAGTTAACCAACTGATTATGCTATGTATAAAATCTATGATAAACTACAAAACAGAATTCCACAAAACTTGGGTTATGTTTGAAGCTAGAGATAGTTAGTGAGCTAAAAAAATTAATAAAGTGTCATAACTCTAATAAAACTTATTCATAAACCCTAATATTATTTGTCAACGTCTAATTATACTTTAAAGGTTGTTTAGACCAGCATTGCATACGTCGAGTTCGAGCAATACGAGCATCAATGTTCAACGTACCTTCACCACAAGTGCCTCAACTTCCTGATCATATTTGAGAGCGAAGTGCAGCTTGCCGCAGAACTCCAGCTCGCCGCTGTCAGTCGACGACTGCCGCACTAGCTCGTTCTTGTACAGCTCCGGCTAACAACAAACAAACAAATCATATCATCTTTTGTTTCTTGAACAGTGTATCTTTTTATTACCTTAACTTTAAGGATTGACTGATTAAGCTAACGTCATCGTAAGATCTCCAAAAAAACAGAAATTAAAGTTAATTTAAGATTTTTTTTATAGTAAAAATATTAGTAGATTTTTGTTAATTTACTAATATTTCCTTTAACCATTCCAACTAAGCTCTAGGCTTGTGCTAGGATATGGTTCACAACAATAATCGAATAGCGGGATTCGAACCCTAGACCGTAATATCGGTAGTCCGTACCCCAAACCATTAGGCTATTGAGGCTTAAATTGATTGTTTGATTTATTTTAGTTAATATTTACAGCTGTCCTTTCACCTTGATAATCCAAATATTTAATTTCCACGTTTAATGAAATAATTAACAAGAAAACAAAAGAAAACCAGCAAATAAGTGAAAGCAGAAATTACAACAATGGTATAATCAAGATGCTTCCTCATACTTACTGAATCACAATGGCCAGCAACAAATCAATCAAGTTTCTAATCTATCCCTACTTTACTTCAGCCATAACGACTCGCTTTTAATTAGCTCGCAACCTTAACATTTCTACGTGTTTATGAAATCGTAACTAATAAAGATTTACTAAGTTTTATGTTTTAAAAATTCTCAGTAGCCTAATTATATTAAGGATTAAAAAGTCAAATTAGATTTTATGTTTATTATAGAGCACCTAACGAAAATGATACTTTATTAATTGTTACTGGTGATCGCGACTTCGTCCACATCGCATTAAAAAAAAGTACAAATTATAACCTATGTTACTTAGTGACAACGTAGCTTTGTAATGGTGAAAGAATTTTCTAAATCAGCTCAGTTTTTTTATTTCAATACATACAAAAATACAAATCTTTCCTCTTTAAAATATTAAGTGTAGATAATTATATTAGATAATTTCAGATATCACAATAGAGTTATAAATACGCTATTTAAAAGAATACTATACTATAAAACATGAATTAAAACCTTCATTCGAAAGACAATAATAGATCTGAATTACAATTCGTATCCCGGATGACGTCACTGCTCGGGCTGGTAACCCTGGAGAGAGCAGTCAAGGTCTGACCTGGTTACGTGTCACGGTCGCCGCGCTCCCGGGACTTGCGCACCGGGACCCTCGCCAGTGATAAGTGATATCATGCTCACAAATTATTAAGGTCTACTAAAGAAACAATCTATACTTCTAATATTATAAAGAGGAAAGATTTATATTTTTATGTATTGAAATAACTCAAAAACAACTGGACCGTTTCTAATAACTCTTTCACCTTTAATAAGCTACTTTAACATAGGCTGTATTTTTTATTATTTTACATTATATCTGTTAAGAAGTAATGAGATAAATCACCTTATTTGTGATAAGGCACACAAACATAATGTACATAAAACATAGCCAATGTCTACGCAAGTTTTGAAAATATTAAAAACCGATGACATAGTTCAGAATAAAACATTTTACAATACTAACTTAATTTACAATGTTAGCTCAAACGTCACAGGTGACAATAAAGCTTCCAGAGAGCTTTTGAAACGGCGCAAGCTTTTTGAATAGGCCACGCCGGAACCAGTTGAAAGCTCGTCCCGGAAGCTGCGCTCCGAACACCCGACAACTGACATGAAGTCGCACTCCATTGAAATTCATCACTTTTCCGCTTTTATTACATTTTCTATTCAAACAATTGTAGAGAAACCAACATTTATGGTTATTTTATTTTAAACTAGTCGGCACCTGCGACTTTGTTCATGGCGAGGGCAAATTTTCGGAAATCTTTTTTCAAACTTGGATCTTTTGTTTTCTTAATTAACTAAATAATGTTTTACTTCATCAAAGTAATATTATAGTCTTTTGATAAATTTATATTGAATTATTTATACTAGTTACGAATTCAAGAGAATCAAGTCAAACGTTTTAATAAATTTTCTTTACAAGCGCTGGAGTCTTTAATATATTATTTTGCAACCTGTTACTTTCTCACGGTCACTTCTAAGAAGCTACGTTAAATTCAAAATGTCAATTTAAGTTTCAATAAAGGTAATTATAAATTCAATTATAAGAACATTTAAAGATGTGTTTATGACATTTCTAAATTCTAATTAGTCGTCAATATTATTTGTACATACTAATAATAGACAATTGAATGTAATAAAACAAAATTAAAATTGCTATCTTTAACTATATGAAAACAAAAAAAAAACATACAGACTAATTGCGTACCTTCTTCTTTTGGGAAGTCGGTCAAAAATATAGCATAATTTGATTTTATTTATGGCAATTACAACATAAAAGTAAATCCATAAAGGCGCAAAATCAATTTTAATCATGTCCTTTGTAAACTTAGAAAAAAATCAAAGACCGTAACTTCGGTATGCAAATTGAATCAACAAACTATAATACAATGAAACCCTAAACCAATTGTATCATTTCGAAGTGGAAAAATACGTCGTCAGGGTAAAAGATCGCTGTTTTCCGGCAATAAACAATTCAAGGACCAATAAAATTCCCTCCAAGGACGAATTACTTTGACGTTTATTTTTATACATTTGTTACATTCCCTTTGCAAAGCTTGGAATTGGTTTGTCAGTCTTTTTAAAGATATGAAATCTTTTATGCACATTTTTACACTTAAATGACACGGAATGGTTTGAAGTAAAAAAGTTTATGCACTGAAAGTTTAAATATATCCCTCGCTTATATAAAATTCTTTTTTAAATTTTATACAATGCTGTTACTTTACTGTATTATCACAATAGGGGCCTTCAAGCCGCAAACTATCTATTGATTTGCATCACACAAATCATACCTTAAGTGAGTAGGAATTGAGCTAAATTGAGTCAGTTCACTGAGCTGCTTCACCCATGCTCTCCTAAAGATGATCTACAGATCATCAAATTAAGTTTCCCAACAAGTTACCTTTATCAATCCAATAGACGAATCGGCGCGCTCCAAGCTGCAGATGCTGAACTGTATGGAAGGCAAGTCCAGGCGGTGGGAGAGCTGACGCTGGAAGGTCTGGTGGCGAGTGGGGACGATGGGCAGCGTGGTCTGACGGAGCACCTGCAAGAAAGCAATTGAATGAAAAATCACGCCATAAAAATACTACGAAATGTGACTGTCATAGAATTTCAGTAAAATATGATTCGAAACAATAATATGTGTTAATTTTAACTTTCTAGTTGTTGCTCGTGACTTCGTCCACATGGTATAAAAAAATTGAAAACATATTTCCTATATTACTCAGAAATTCCTTTTTTATGGTAATTTTTTCTTTAAATCGGCAGCGTAGTTTTTGAGTTGTTTCATTCCATACAATACTACAAATCTTTCTTCTTAATTATTAGTATAGACTAGAAAATTAATTCTGCTGATAACCGATTCATTTCTATTAGCTGTGAGCAATTTAGCTAACAACAAAATAGACAGTACTCCGAAGTCGACCTTTTTGTATTATCAAAGTCACAGTTGCCAGTAAAGTCTTGTTAAAGAGGCTGCGGAGTGTATAAACATTATCCCTCGAAAAGCGTTTAGTCTAAATGTTATTTATTTGATTCTACCAGACACTTAAGAACACATGTAGCAAAATAAACAGAACTAAATAAGACTCAAGATTTGCTCATTGTTATTATCCACTGCTTGTTTTATCTTGAGACTTTGGTAATACCTTAATGACTCTGCGTTCGACATTTATATTAGAAGATTCAAATGAATTCATCATTTTGCTATTAAAAAGTTATTTGTTAAAAAATACTTGTAATAATTTCTTTGTGATTACAAAAGTTTCAACAAGTTTAAAGCTATTTAATTACAAGTCTTGGACGAGGACCTTTTGTGTTGTCAAGGAAAACAGCTTGAGGCGATCCGTTTGCTTTTCTGATATTTAAATTATCATTTTGTTTTAGTACTACGTAAATCAGAAGAGTTTATGTGCAATTTGTGCAAAAACAAATGAAATGGGTATATTAAGAACACAACAAGACATCTAAAACTTATCCATTTTTAGTCCCTAAAAGTACTAAACGCGTGTACTATTTCGACACACGTGTGAATTATTTATTTTGAATTTCAGATTATTATTTAAAGAGTAAAAAAAAACAGGAGTTATCTTGAACATTACATACGTAAATTCGACGCCTAATAATACATTTTTTTTTATAACATAAGGTGGCAAACGAGCAAGCGGCCACCTGAATCCGCCAAAATGGCGAAGCGACCGCTGCCCATAGACATCCGCAATTGCAGATGCGTTGCCTACCCGTATCGGACAGAGGAGGAGACGCACATAAAGAGGATATTTCCCCTTCCTTTGCTTCTCCTCCACCGTCAAATGCACTTCCTCTTCCCATTCTCTCCTTATAAGAAAACGATGGTAAAGAGAAAGGGACTTAAATTAGACATTTTTCATGTCACAATATAACCTAAACAATAAATGTTAAAACAATTCAACAGCCATAAGTGCAATATTCAGAAGTAAACTTTGTTATATCAGATTTCGCTATAATACTGGCAGCGAGTTTCAAACAGGATTAAATTCCTATCAAATTAATTGCTTTCAAATGGATGCTTTCATAGCCAACATCATACTTCGAAGTGATCCGATGCTAGTTTGTTAACTCAGTTTATTGTTTAGAACCAAACTCGTGGCCATTCGGGATCGTTAGTGTTGAGCGGATCAATAATAAAGTTTAACATCCACTGCAGTAATATGTTCTGTAAAAGTCTTAATTCCAAACTAAAATTATACTAAATCTTAGCATTTAGCGTTTAATTTTAAATCATAAATCGTTTAATAGTTACTTAAGTTTTTTTTTTTATAACATATGGTGGCAAACGAACAAGCGGCCACCCGAATCCGCCAAAATGGCGAAGCGACCGCTGCCCATAGGCATCCACAATTAAAGATGCGTTGCCTACCCTTATCCGACAGAGGAGGAGACGCACATAAAGAGGATATTTCCCCTTCTTATGCATCTCCTCCACTGTCAAATCCACTTCCCCTTACCATCCTTATCCTTATGAGAAAAGGGTGGTAAGGAATAAGGGACTTAAATTAGGCCTCCGGCACCACACTCATCAGACGAAACACGGAATTACTTCCACTTCACGCCTGTCTTCTGTGTGGTCGTGGTATTACACCGGGCGTGCCGGCCCATTCGTGCTAAGATGTTAAAGCGGGCACTACCACTGTAAGAAAAGTGTTCTCTAAAAGGCGCATTTGCATATTAAATCTACACATAGGTAACAAACCAACTCTACTTGAGCAACCAACCTATTATGCTTGAATAACCAATCAACACGGGGCGAGGCACAGTAGGCTAAATTCTCGAATGATATAGACATGCAAAATTGATGTTTTAGGTGATGAAAATATTTTAGCCCGCTGTGCCTCACCCCGCTAGTGTCGTGTTGCCCGTCGTTAGTTTGATGACCACGGTATAAGTGCAGTATTTAGTATCTAAAATATTTTACGTTGGACTATGGTAATTAACTTCAAACGAGATATTATTTACAAATATTAATTAAAAACTGAACGTCTAACACAGAGTTTGTGAAACAATGTTTATTTAATTCTAAATTCAATGTACGTTCACTTAAACGAACCTAACCAAAACTTTATAGACTTGTTCAATATTTGCGAGATACGTGACGAAACAAGTTATATGAAGATTGAATTTATGCGGAATTACGTGACGTGGCAATAAGATTTCAGATGATGTCAATGACCTGTAAAGTTGTGTTCGAACTTTGATCTCGGATTAAAATGTACTTAGTTTTTCTGAACTTCCAAGTAAAATGGCAAAGTTTTCCCGTGTTTTGATAGAGAATTGAAAGGCGAATGGACTGTAAGCGAATTTTACTTTGAAAAGCACTTTCACGTTAATATTTGTATGGCCTCTGATTCACTTAAATTCAGTATAAGTTCTGGTATAAAGGGAATAAATTAAGTACTTTGTACTTCTCGGTAAACAATTCATTCGAATCGAGTTAAATTTTATTCATTTTAATCACATTTTTTAATATGATCTAACTACTCTAAAAATTTATTAGGTGCACACAATTATTTTTGTCAATTTAGCAGTCTTAGAGACCATTAAATGACTGTGAACACAGAAGTAACTGTCGCCAACGTATATCGTTGATATTTGCTTTCTTCACGGTCGCGCGTCACACTGCGGCCCAGGTCGCGAAGGGAAAATGTACACTCATGGATTCAAAACTAGTCGGGGCCGTGACCGGAAGATTTAACGTGAGTTTAGGCTTCTTTAATTCATTTAACTACAAACATTTTCCATAGTTTACCTTTTTCCCGGCGTCCTTGTGCTCTTGTACATACTCCTGCTTCAGAGGTTCTGTCTGCAAGTCCGGCAACGAGTGGCTGATACGTATCGCCGCTTGCCGCGACTGCGAGTCGCAGTTACTATCCTGCGACTCACGCCGCGACCTGCGGAAACATCTAATAATAAAGAAATATTTAAAGATAAGTATCTAGGAAGTGATAACCTTACAAGTATATTAATAAACTTAAACTAATCATAACATTGTTTTAAACTAGCGACTCAACCAGAAACACCAGCCCTGTCTATCAAGTTGTATAGCCGTGAAGTGTTATTGACAATGGGGATGTTTCTTAATTTTTGGAATAGCCTTTATTTTGTAGATAAACCATGTATGAACACGAAAAAAAATAGTATAAAATATAATACTCATTATTTCAATAAAAAAAACACGTAAATAAAAACAACTCTTTCATTTCCCCCCAAAACGTCCCATGACGTCACTTCTTTGCATACGAACCTCGCGTCACGGCCTGTCACTGTCAATTTGAAAGAACCATTGATTGATAATACTCGTAAATCTTTGTTGTCTAAAGTTGTTTTTAGTAATGGAGATAAAAATGAAAAAACCAAAATGAACAGAAGGTGATACTTTTAACGTATTAATTACACTTGTTGCTTCTCGTGGAAGATTATGTTTGTGTGTAAACAGTGACTGCGTCCTACACCAGTGTGACCAGGTATAAATTAAATTGTACTATAAGCTACTCTTATGAATTTTGATATATTTTTCTTTTGTAATATTCATAAAATGTTTTGCTCATAACTTATGTCGTAATTATAAAAACACTCAATAATGGAGTCCTCATAATATAAAACACGCAAACTCAATTATTACAATCATTTAGAAAAAAATATAACTACAAAATGCACTGACATTCACTGAAGTTGGTCACACTGCCATGTTATATGCAAGAAAGTGACGTCATTGGTGTTTGAGATCGAGTAATGGAGGGTAAAAAATATTGCAGCGTTTTTAATTTATATTTAATTTGAGACAAACATTCAAGGTCTCTAAATGTTATTATAGGTTATAAAATGCTGTCTTTAAAATATTAAACATAACTTTATTTGGATTTGTAACATTAGGAAACATCCCCATTCCTGGGATACATCAAAAATGGGTAATGAACCACTTGACTTTTCAAAATCTTTAAAAAAGTATCATCATCAACATCAGTGTTTATCTGACCACTGATAGACATAGACCTTCAAAAAAAGTATACTTAAAATATATTTTTGAACAGTTATTTCCCAGTAAAAATCTATTTTTAGAAACTTAGTCCTATTAGTTTATTTTTTAAGCCTCTCCTTAGCATAGGAATGGAGTGTCCTGGTTTTTTGACCGGTCTAATCTTATCCTCTGAGTATTTCATCATCATCATTTCATTGTCAATATCTTGTATTGATATCCTATTATAAACACTTACCTTCCCATCAGCCATCTCCAAGTAGCCGCGCAATGATATCCAACAGCTGCCAGTAGCACCGCCGCCATCGCGCCTAGCAGCACAGCTGCCACGTAATCTAGTGATGTACCGCGCACGCTCGACTCACTCTCCAAACCTCTTGGCACCCACACACCACCTGAACAAAAAACATCGACAAAGTAAAATCACGGTAAGGCTCTACCCTAAACACTTGTATGACAAAATTGCCCTTAAATTTTTCAACAAGAACAGAGACAAGTAGCTATGAAAGATTGAATAGTGATGGCTAAAAATGTAGAGGAAGACCGAAGAAATTATTTATTGTGTGAAAAAGGATATGCTTAAGAAGTGAGTGGGTTCAAATGTGACGGCTGATAGAAATATATCGAAGAGGAGCATTTACTTTGCCGACCCTTAGTAGGGTTAAGTTAATGAGAGACAAGCAAATCAAAATAAAGCTACTAGCTTATCGAAGATTTTCTAGTGATCAATTCTTTAATAATAGATTAGGTTTGAGTTTCTTTGAAACAAACATTCAGTAATAACCTTTTCTCTGTCACGTAGACTTTAAACCAATTTTTATTTACGTGTCATAGTTATATTCAATGATTGGCAGTAATAAGTAAATTAAAAGGAAGAAGGCAATTCTAAGTTGTCTTAACATCTTCTCGTCTTGACAAACTTATTACAAGTTTGATTAATAATCTAGTTTTCCATTTAAACTATCTCAAAACATTTTGTTGACTGATTCCTTTACTATACGTTTAAACTACTCTCAAGAAATAAAACATTACCTCAATTGCTTTTGATGAAATTTAGTTTTTCTAGAGGCTTAAAATTTTCACAAAAAAATGTTTTTTATAACAGTTTTTGACAATTTTTATTTTATTCAAATTAAAATTTAATAAGTTTACAAGGTTCTGTCATTTTTCTTTAAACAAAGCTACATATTATAACTAAGTTATTAATATTAGCAAATTTTTAACAAGATATAAGTTTTAGTAAGCAGTCGTGTGCGTGTTGAGGCGTCTTAGCTTTGATCTTAAGATCTCTTAAGTTTGCGAACGTGAAATGAATTAATGAGGATTTATCGCTACGCTTAATGTTACGAATCACTAAATTGATAATCCTACGAAAGCTTTTATTACAATAATAACTGCTATTATTATAACAATAACCCTCAAGGTCGTGCATTCGAGGACATATTTCCTACCCACTTTCTAAAATGTCATTAAACAATCAAAACGCTTAGAATTTTTTTTTCTTAAATAATCATGTTAACACACCTTACTTCAACACACAATTGCAAACATTCTCTTTTTCTATTAATATTAATTGTTTATTAAGGAAACCATTGAAATGTCAATTTTTATTATATTACTTTGTAAATGTACCACAATTACTTCATTGTTGTGAAATATGTGTATTGCTATTATCGCGTTTTATATTCACTGATGAAATTCGTTTGGCGTGGTCAGTTTCCGGTGACTTATCTGTTAACCGGAATTAGTATAATGTAAATATGTCAAGTACAAACTCTATTATATGGGCGTCACAGCCATGTTATGCTTTAATTAAATATAGTCTTCATTACCTCTTATGTTATCTTCCAATTTGCACAAAATAACCTTACCAACATTGCCGTCGTGTCGTCGAGCTAATGCAACACCCTTATTTTTGACATCCGACTACTATCCGATTATTAACATAACAAGCACAATTACATTTTAAAACCATGACATAAATATTTTAAAAAAACGCTTTGAATCACCATTACAAAGTTATATCGTTATTTCAAACTATGACCAATGACATTGATTTATAGCACAGACTAAATAACCTTCAAGAGTACAGAATACATCAAAATAGTTAAGAAGCTAACAATTATTTGTACATAAAATTATCAAACGGTGTCTTAAATCATTATTAACCGATTATTTTACATGTTTAAAATTTCAAATGGACTTTTACATAAAATAATCTTACACTTACTAAATGTAATAAATGCGAAAGTTTTGATAGATGGATGTTTGTTAGCGTTTGTAGCCTAAACAGCTGAACGGATATCGATGAAAATATATATGTAAAGCAAAGTGTGGAAGAAGACATAAGCTACTTTTTTCTTTTAAATTCCACACAGAATAAGTCGCTGGCGAAAGCTAGTTCTAAATATAATCGTAAAAAAAATGATTGATTTGTTTTCGATCGTTAAAAGCGTTGTAATGTCCAATATTCCCCAAGACCCTTTCACTTTACAATGTTATTAATGATTCTCGCAGGCTCTACAATAGATAGCCTATAATCTATACTTAATCTGCTTTTTTTTTGTTATTCAGAAGATAGATTAGGGACTAATAAGATTTAAGTGTGTAAATTATCTTGTCTAAAAGCTTGAAAGATTAGTTGCGACAACAATAGGCAAATTTATTATAAAAAAAAAACTTTAAACACTTCACTTACATTAAAACTTCAAGAAAATATAATATTTACAATAACAAATAAAATAAACAATACAAACATATAAATCTCACTCTAACTTGCGTTCAATACAAACAGTAAAGTATAGATACGCCGTAAGTTTCTCTATTAGACAAATAGCTAAACTTTTAATGTTCCTGTAGAACTGTATCCGTTATATTAGACCTCAGAGGTCACAACACGAGGTCATCACGTCCCAAACAATTAACTAAAACAAACAACTATATAAATAACTGTTAACAGTTTCGACTTCGTTAACGAACCAGTGATTACTAATCTGTGGACGCTATTATTCGAATATGGAATTGACTGTTGAACGTGGGTGGAACGATAAAAACGGAATATTGCTTTTTCATTTTTTTCCTTTAAATTATTATCTTTGAATTGATGAAAAAAAAAACAATAAAAGAGATATTTTGTTCTGTATAGCATCTGGTCCGTGCCAGTGAATAATTTTTCAAATTTCTTCTTTTCTTTAAATTCTTTTACATTCATGTGCCGTTGAACTTTTAAATTCACAAACATCTTGGTGCGATTAACTGAGTCTCTGAATGGATTATTTCTATTCTATATTGTTTTTTAATATGTTTTATAAACGCTTATAATATAAACTAGTATTCGCCCAAGACTCCATCCTCGTGGAATTAGAAAATCAAAAGTATACCTAAGAGTTCTTCCAGACTATCTTTTACATCAGTCTACTTCATCGAAATCCGTTCAGCAGTTTGGACTACAAACTCTAACAAACATCTAAACATTTATAACATTAGTAAGATGATTGTACAATAAGACTTGCGTTATAAGGCAAGGAACTTTAGAGGTGAACGTTCTCTTTACCGGCTGAGTTTAACGTCGTCAATTCACCACCTTTGATGAATTTTGCCTTTCAATTTGTAATAACTTCAACACCTGGTGTTACTATAAAATTACAAATTTATGCAACAGTTTTGTCATTAAATTAATATAATATAGAAGCGCATGTAAGGTAAGGTTCCATTGCCGAAATGTGCATCAAACGCATGTTGACGCATATTTTTAATGAAGAATTTTTATTCCGCCGGAGGCCTAATTTAAGTCTCTTTCTCTTAACCACCCTTTTCTTATAAAGAGAGGATGGGAAGTGAAAGTGGATTTGACGGTGGAGATGCATAAGAAAGGGGAAATATCTTCTTTATGTGTGTCTCTTCCTTCGTCGTATAAGGGTAGGCAAAGCATCTGCAATTGCGGATGTCTATGGGCAGCCGTCGCTTCGCTATTTTGGCGGATTTAGGTGGCCGCTTGCTCGTTTGCCACCTTATGTGATAAAGAAAATCTCTCTTGGTTTACTACGTTTTTAAACTACTTTAGGCAGTGTAAACCTACTATAGTAATGTGGCAATAAAATCAAATTAAGTATCGACTATAAATTATGGACTTGTCAATTATCTGTCAGTATTTAACCTGTTATCTACCTATTATAACTTTTGATAAAAATGTCTAACTTAATATCAGAGTTTATTGTACGGATTGATGGGAAAATTACAGATATATTTTAATTAAATTGATAAAGAATTCTTGTCTATCTATACTATTATAATAAAGCGTAAACACACACTTCTTTGTTACCTAAGATGTCAACAATTACAGTATATTTTTGAATATTTCTTTTTTTAATAAAAAATCTCTACACGTCTTACGTTACGTTATAGGCTTTTTTTACGCCATTAAACTTAGGGGTTTTGGATAAAAACTCTAATGTCGGAAAGAGACCATAAGTTGCTGCCAACATCAAGAAAGCAAAATTGCCATGCTTTGTCATCATGTCATGTCTGTCATTTTGACATTTGCAATTATATGTGACAAATGTAATCAATAAAACAATTTTCATAATTTAATGCGAATAAAGTCGCATGGGAACAGCTAGTATCTAAATATATACTAAACCATAATGAAAATTCAGTTTAATTTTATTAACGTAAGCTCTCACATCAATTTTCCACATTTCTCCCGCTAAGTTCTAATGTAATCTGATTTTTAAAATTATAACTACGAGTTTAATAAAATCCCAACCATTAATCATTATTAACAAAATCATAGAAAAACTATCAAAGATAGCTATAAAACTTTGATTAAATCGCGTTATTATGTGGACGTATGGACGTTGTATATTTTTTTGTTATACTGAAATACGTGCCCAGTGATATTATAAGATCAGACAAATATTACTCACGTTCCAACATGGAGTATTGATTAAGGAACTTGGAATTGACCTCAAACCAAGATAATTTGTTCACTGGAGTGGAAATGAACAATACAGATGTTTTTGTACCAAGTACGTTTTGTACATTAATATAATAAATGTTTTTAATTTTTTTATGACATGGACGAAGTCGCGAACAACAGCTAGTTGTAGATATATTGGTACATTGAAGATGATTTTGACAAGTGTAAAAAGTAACAATGGGCTAAGAAATATATGTTCTAAATTTCTTACATTATCAAAGTGTTAATTTTTTATCATAAATCCGTGGATACACGTAATCGTGACGTGACGAAATTTTCGGTAAACAATTGAATATATTTTAACAGTTTTAACTGAAAAATGTCCTTTGGTATTAGTTACATAACTAATAGGCTTCATTACTGCACAGGACCGTACTTAAGTGCAGGAAATGGCCAATTAATTTGGTATTAAGTTGTAACTAAGCTTAAACCTACAACAACAATTTAAAATACTTTCGTTGAAGTTATATCGGCTTATTTTAGTACTCAATTTAATAGAATATTAAAAAGTATGTTCGTTTATTATTAGTATTACATATTCAACAACACACACCGGTAATCCTGAGGGGGTAAGCAGTCCTGGTACAACCCTGTCGATTATTTCATGCATACATCTACGCATACCAAATCGATAGTTTAAAGTCCTCTTAATGTCAGCCCTTATGTTTTAATTTTACCAGGAATCAAGCAATTTTATACATGATTTGTAGACTTATAGAATCTCTGCTATTTTCACTTTAAACACCAGCCAATCAACAGTTTATCAAGGTTTAAAGGTGAACGCACCGTCTACAGAGCTAGGGCTTAGCCTATGTTCGCAATTTACAATTTTCGTCGGTGTATTCAGGGATTTATATAAGACTGCCGACTTTACGGGAAAGAAGAGCTGAGCAGAAAGCTATTGTATTAAGTTTTATCATTTCTTCATTTTCAACTGAATTAACTTAAAAGCAGTGACATCTCAGAGTTACAAAACCTTACTTTGATTTTTTTTTCAACTATTAAATTATTTTGTTTTTTCGATCGTTTCATTTCAATATGTAAAAATATCGAAATAATTCAATATCATTCTGTTATTTTTTTAATACAACACATATTTTATAATGAAAATTAAGAAATAAAAATTCATATATTTGAAGTATCCCTAGCCTAACTAATTAGTTAAGAAGTCTGTCATTTAATTATTTCCCTAAATTGAATTAAAAAAAAGAAAAATAAACAAATATTTACAGAGTTCACGTGAAAAATAAATAAAGAATATCTCCATAACATTAAAATATAGTGCCTACTTTCAGCCTATTTGGAAGCTTTTATCTTTTTTTCGAGTAATGTTTATAAACACTCAAAATGATGGAATGATCGAATATATTTTTGTTAAGGGCTTTTACCCTTGTAGGATAAATGTTAGAGTATAAAATTTAATGGCGACATAAAAGGACTTTAATACCGTATTTGGTGTAACTCTCATAAAGACACAAAACTCAATGACGAATAATCATCGCGACATAAGCTTACATTAAGTTATTCAGTATTGTGCTAATTAAAATTAATTCTTTTTGATTACCTTTTTCGTTGTATCGACAGTTGTCTCTTTCTCTCATACTATTCGTTATATCTTGCTTCTCACTCTTGTAACGAAATGAGCATATACGTGACGCGCCCTATTAACAATTTGTCGGCTAGTTTTTAAAACATTTTTATATTACTTTTCAAATGCTTCAAAATTTATATATTCTAGTAATAACAACAAATACAAGTAAATGTTACATGCATCTTTAGAATTAACCAAAGCGGTAGAGAAAGTAAGAAGTAAAAGGTTAGCATTGTATGGGCATGTTATGAGGAGGAATGAATCCCATGTAACAAGG